GGGGGGGGGGGGGGGGGGGGGGGGGGGGGGGGGGGGGCCTCCTACCTGAGGGTGGAGGTGTAGTAGAGCAGGAGGCGCAGCAGCTCTGCGCTGTCACAGTCAGGGTTCAACCACACGGAGCTCTTGGTGCAGACGGTCAGCAGAGCTCGACCACTCCGGTCTCTGGATCCTGCACAGACAGACAGACGGACACAGTCAGTCAGAGGTAGGGTTGGGTTGGTTCTCAGTCATACCAGTTCGGATCGGTACTCCTTCTTGCTTCTTGGACCGGGTTTTTTTTTTTTTTTTGGAGACCGACCGGACCGCATACGTCATTTTACAGCCTGTAGGCCCGAACGTACGTGGAGTGGACTCCGCATATTCCGCCCGGACTAAAAGTGGATGTCCACAAGCCCTGTGCGCGCAATGCTCAGATTTTATGACCGCACGGACTCCGTGCACCAGTGTCACATGAAAGACTGCTCGGCATGTATTTTTCACATCGCGGTGATTTTTCACGGACATTTTTACAGGAAACTACAACGCGGAAGTGCGCTCGACTATGGAAGCCTGAATGACTGCGGACATTCCTCGCGGAGTCTGCTCCGCTTATAGTACGCCCGAGTCTGTGAGCACCTGTGTCTGCATCTTCACCAAGCGCACAGCGAGCAGAAGAGAGAGGGGGGTGGGGGCGGGGCAGGGACTGAGCTAGGGGGTGCGAGTGCGCTGCGCTGAGGCCTCTACTGCAGCCTGGAGTTTGTTTAACAGTGACGGGGAGTTGATAATGGCGGACAGTTTAGTCTAGAAGAAATCAAAGAATGCGCCATTATGGCAACACTTTGGTTTTGAGGCAGACGAAGGAGGCAACCCTTGTTTGCACTGATTGAGTAAGCTGAACCTGCACATTTATTTGTAAGGAATAAAAGAAACAACGTGTTACTGTCACTCTGTTGTCCTGTGGTTGTTTTTTATTTTAAATGAGTCAACTGCGCCCCCAAGTGGCGAAAATCCGGTATTACCGACTAGATGCGGTTTGTTTTTTTCTCATGCCGACCCAACCCTAGTCAGAGGAAGCACCTGATGACACCTGATGATGCATTTACAGACTGCAGGGAACTCCACTACACACAGTGCAGACTGTGTCAGTAGTATTATTATCGTCCCCACAGAGCCCTCTGCTTCCGTCCTCACGGTGTGCCGGTGTCAGACGGTGGGTCGCTGCTGCTGCTGACTGTATGTGCTTATGCAACGCCCACACACACACATTCTCACTGACTGATGAATTGGCGCTGGTTATTTATATTATTGTGGTGTATTGATTATGAATACAGTCCATCTGATGCTGGTTTTGTTTCATCACTGTAGCCAGTATCTCACTATCACTATCCTCATTCAGATTTTAAGAAGCTACACACTGGGTCTGAACACGGTTCAGGGTCTGGGTCTGAACCAGGTTCAGGTGAAATCTACATGAGGTTTTTCTCACCAGGCAGACACAGAGCTCCAGATCTTAGCAGCACACTGTAGAAGCTGGACTGGGAGAACTGGGAGGACTGGCTGAACTGTACTGGGACTGTGGGAGCAGCTGACTGGTGTAGCTGCAGAGACGCTGCTGGCTGTTGTGATTCTGCTGAACTGGGACCAGTGGACACACTGACAGGTGACTGGACAGGAGGACTGGTGAGACCTGTGGAGACAAAGAGACACAAACACTGATAAACCTGTACATCACACCTGAGTACTGTCAGACTCTTCACTGTACTTGTGAGGACCGTCTTTCTAAAATCAAATCTCAACCATCATCCTCTGAGGACGGACCAGACATGTCCTCACTGTCAGGGTCTGTCTCTGTGAGGACTCGTCATTGTCACTCACTGACCAGTCCTCCACTCACTAACAGTCCTCCACTCACTGACCAGTCCTCCACTCACTGACCAGTCCTCCACTCACTAACAGTCCTCCACTCACTGACCAGTCCTCCACTCACTGACCAGTCCTCCACTCACTAACAGTCCTCCACTCACTGACCAGTCCTCCACTCACTAACCAGTCCTCCACTCACTAACCAGTCCTCCACTCACTAACCGTCCTCCACTCACTAACAGTCCTCCACTCACTGACCAGTCCTCCACTCACTAACAGTCCTCCACTCACTGACCAGTCCTCCACTCACTAACCGTCCTCCACTCACTGACCAGTCCTCCACTCACTAACAGTCCTCCACTCACTGACCAGTCCTCCACTCACTAACCGTCCTCCACTCACTGACCAGTCCTCCACTCACTAACAGTCCTCCACTCACTGACCAGTCCTCCACTCACTAACCGTCCTCCACTCACTGACCAGTCCTCCACTCACTAACAGTCCTCCACTCACTGACCAGTCCTCCACTCACTAACCGTCCTCCACTCACTGACCAGTCCTCCACTCACTAACAGTCCTCCACTCACTAACCAGTCCTCCACTCACTAACCAGTCCTCCACTCACTAACAGTCCTCCACTCACTAACCAGTCCTCCACTCACTAACCAGTCCTCCACTCACTAACAGTCCTCCACTCACTAACCAGTCCTCCACTCACTAACCAGTCCTCCACTCACTAACAGTCCTCCACTCACTAACCAGTCCTCCACTCACTAACCAGTCCTCCACTCACTAACAGTCCTCCACTCACTAACCAGTCCTCCACTCACTAACCAGTCCTCCACTCACTAACAGTCCTCCACTCACTGACCAGTCCTCCACTCACTAACAGTCCTCCACTCACTAACCAGTCCTCCACTCACTAACAGTCCTCCACTCACTACCCAGTCCTCCACTCACTAACCAGTCCTCCACTCACTGACCAGTCCTCCACTCACTGACCAGTCCTCTCTAACTTACTCCTCTATTATTAAACCACCTGACTCCCTGTGCTTCTGTTAGTGCTCCAGTTGTACATCATCTCTACCCAAACAGCAAGTATTAGAGGAGGCTGCTGAGGAGGAACGTGAAGAGGAGGAGGAGGAGGAGGAAGAAGAGGAGGAAGAGGGGGAGGGAGGAGGGGGAAGAGGAGAACTAATTTAGCCAATCAGAGATGAAGGAGGAGGAGGTGATCAGTGAGCACAGACAGATGGTTTGTGGGATGATGATAATCAGGAGGAGGATAAAGAGGTTTCCGTACCTTCAGTCTGAAGATCTGCAGTTCTTCCTCCACCAACCTCCTCACAGTCGCACTCCTCTTCGTCATCCTCCTCTTCATCCTCTTTCTTCTTCTCTTCTGGTTTGTTTACAGACTCCTCTGGTTCAGTCCAAACTGAGTCTGTGTCCATTACTGCAGAGTTGGACTCTTCAGTATGTGTGTGTACAGTCTGACTTTCAGAATAAGAGTCTTCAGAGACTGTTTGTGCTGTGTTCCTTTCAGAATAAGAGTCCTCAGAAAGTGTTTGTGCTGTGATCCTTTCAGAATAAGAGCCATCAGAGTGTGTTTGTATTGTGTTCCTTTCAGAATAAGAGTCTTCAGAGAGTGTTTGTGCTGTGTTCCTTTCAGAATAAGAGTCCTTGGAGTGTGTGGGCTGAGCATAGGACTCTTCCGAGTGTGAGTGCTGTGTATTATTTTCAGAATAAGAGTCTTTAGAGTGTGTTTGTACTGTGTGTTTTTCAGAGTAAGAGTCCTTGGAGTGTGTGTGTAGTGTAGTATTTTCAGAATAAGAGTCCTGTGTGTGTAGTGTAATATTTTCAGAATAAGAGTCCTGTGTGTGTGTGTTCGTACAGTCAGCTTCATCATCTGTGTGTGTTTGTTCACCTCCTGTCTCCTCCTTCCCGTCTTCCTCTTCTCCTCCTCCTCTTTCATCTTGTGTCATCACTTGCTCCTCCTCCCTTCTGTCTTGATTCTGTGGTACAATTATAACCTGCACCTCCTCTTCTACCTCCACCTCCTCTAACTCATCATCTCTCTCCTCATCCAACTCTTCCTCTTCCTCTTCACTTTCATTCAGTAAATCTTCATCCTTCCTGCGCTCTGTGTCCTCCTGCTGTTTTTCTTTCTTCTCTTCACCTTCATCATCTGTCACTGCTGTTTCCTGTCTCTCCTCCTGTCTCTCCACCAGCTCTTTCTCCTCCCTCTCTTCCTCTGTCTCCTCCCCTTTCCACTGCTCCTCCTCCTCCTCCTTCTCCTCTTCCTCTCTCTGTTCTGTGCAGCGTTCATGTTCAGAGTTCAGCCTCAGTCCTCTGTCTGAGTCAGTACCTCCTCTTTGCTCCTGTGACGTCAGGCTGGAGGTTCCCTCCACCTCAAGAGGAGCAGAGAAGGAGGTGGAGGAGGTGATGGGGGTGAGGATGACGGGTCCACAAGAGTCCTGCTTCAACTTCTCCTCAGTCAACCTGGAGCACCGCCCAGAGCTGACGTCCACAGGGGGCCAGGAGGAGTGTGTAGTACCAGCAGTGTGTGTTTTACTGTTGTGAGGTGTGTGTGCAGGTGTGTGTGTGGCAGTGTGAGGTGTGTGTGCAGGTGTGTGTGTGGCAGTGTGAGGTGTGTGTGCAGGTGTGTGTGTGGCAGTGTGAGGTGTGTGTGCAGGTGTGTGTGTAGCAGTGTGAGATGTGTGTGTAGCAGTGTGAGGTGTGTGTGTGGCAGTGTGAGATGTGTGTGCAGGTGTGTGTGTAGCAGTGTGAGGTGTGTGTGTGGCAGTGTGAGGTGTGTGTGCGGCAGTGTGAGGTGTGTGTGTAGCAGTGTGAGGTGTGTGTGCAGGTGTGTGTGCGGCAGTGTGAGATGTGTGTGTAGCAGTGTGAGGTGTGTGTGCAGGTGTGTGTGTGGCAGTGTGAGATGTGTGTGTAGCAGTGTGAGGTGTGTGTGCAGGTGTGTGTGTAGCAGTATGAGGTGTGCGTGTAGCAGTGTGAGGTGTGTGTGTTTCAGTGTGATGTGGGTGTGCAGGTGTGTGTGCGGCAATGTGAGGTGTGTGTGCAGGTGTGTGTGCGGCAGTGTGAGGTGTGTGTGCAGGTGTGTGTGTAGCAGTGTGAGGTGTGTGTGTTTCAGTGTGATGTGTGTGTGCAGGTGTGTGTGCGGCAATGTGAGGTGTGTGTGCAGGTGTGTGTGGGCTGGTCCTGGCTCGGTGCTGCTGACTGATGGACTGGGTTAAGGAGCCTTTCTGTGGGGAGAAGCGGGGCAGCTCTGTCAGCTCCGTCAGCTCCGTCAGCTCCACGTACTCGCCCTCTGAGTCCTCGCCCTCGCTGCTGGCTGCTGATTGGAGGAGCTTCACTTCCTGTCTGGAGGAGTCAGGATCTCCATGCAGGTTGTGCGATGTGTTAATTAGCATATCTCCATCCTTAGTGGACGACTCCTTGTCCTCCTTCAGGGAGACCCGGGGCCGGCTGATGAACTGTGGGTAGACCAGGTCCTCCCAGGGGACCCTGAACACGTCTCCGTGTGCAGAGAGGAGGCAGCGCTCTAGCCTGGACGCTCCTCGCTGCTCCCGCTCCCTGTTGACTGAGTCCAGCCACGCCATGCTGAAGAGGGACCGCAGGGCTATCTGCTGCACCTCCTGCTGCTCCACATGACGCACGCCGGCTGACAAGCTGCACAAGAGTAGACGGGGGGAAGACGTGACAGCACTTCTGCAGGAGGCACCGCGTGCTCGGGGCAGAGCAGGAGGAACAGCAGCAGGAGGAGAAACCAGCAGGTAGAAGTCTCCTGGACGGAGGAGGTGCTGGTCCAGAGGACAGAGGTGCACGACTACCTTCTCATGGATGCACAGAGGCCAGCCTTCATGACGAAACAACAGACCACAGTACTGCAACTGAGGAGAGGAGGAGGAGACAAGGAGAGGAGGAGGAAGAGACAAGGAGAGGAGGAGGAGGAGACAAGGAGAGAGAGATTATGATCATTGAATTATTCAGAGTCATGTTTCAGTCTCTCAGCTGATGTGAGTTCAGCTGAGTCACAGAGACATTAATCTCTGCTGCAGGTGAGTGTGACAGATCTGACCAGGATCAGCTGTGCTCTCAGTCTGACTCGAGGAGGCGAGGCTGCTCAGGGAGCAGAGCACAGAGGATCCATTCATGAGGAGCAGATGATACCTGCAGCTGAGTCACCTGTAACTCCCAAACATTCTGCTCCTATCAGAATGAGGCGCGGCGAGGCGCAGCGAGGTGAGGCGCGGTGACGCCCAGCAGCAGCAGGTGAGTGACGATCTCACAGTCACCTTAAATAAACATGACACATCAGCCAACCATGCTCAGCATTCAGCAGGCGAGTACAGACAGAGAGAAGGGGGAGGGGCCTGTTGAGTCATCAGTGAGAGTCCTGACTCAGAGACTCTCCTCCTCCATCATCATCATCATCATCATCATCATCATCATATCTATCTGCTGAGTCATGACTGAAGGACAGGTGAGTTCTCTGATGATCTGCTGTGAAGCAGCAGGAACTACTGAATGACATGTCTGAAGACTGTGTGTGTGTGTGTGTGTGTGTGTGAGAGCTGTAATGATAATAATAGAGGTTTAGATGAAGCACAGCTCAGAGAGCTCAGCTCATTATAAAGTGAATATCCTGAGAGAGAGGACGACCTGAGCAATGAGCCTGTGACACGTGTGTCTGTAGTGTCCAAAATGTGAGCACAGCCACAGGTTAGTAAACTGGTACAGTCTCTCTCAACACGCTGTAGAGTTCAATGTGTCAGGTGGAGTTTCTCTCAGTTTCAGGCTCACTGTGCCAAATGTGGAGGTGTGATTGTTTCTGATGGAGAGAGAGTGAAAGTTGTGGGCGTGACATCAGTCAGTGGGAACTGCAGCTATATTTCCACCAGCGGTCCGGTTCATTGTTTGTGTTCCCACAGTGTGAAGATGTGGATGGTACCAACAGAACGGTTCCTTCAGTGCTCATGTTTGGTTCCCCCTCTGTTGGTGGGTTCATGTCATCACCTCACTCAGTGACATCACAGGAAACGTTCCAGCTTAAAGTGAATGAAGTCATTTTATAGTTGTAGTTTACTGATGTATGAACAGAGGTTACATAAAACCAGAGTGAGCGTCCTCTACTGACCAATCAGACTGCAGGGTTTCTAGCTCCACCTTTTAGTACCAGATCTGTGTGCTAGGTACCCCAACAGAGGGGGGACCAAACATGGGGACGCTAAGGAACGCTTCTGTTGGGACCATCCACAACTTTACACTGTGGAGACAGAAACTATGAACTGAACCGGTCTGCTCGGTGGAAACAGGGCTGGACATTGGTCTCTCTACAGAGTGGACATTGGTCTCTCTACAGAGTGGACATTGGTCTCTCTTCAGAGTGGACACTGGTCTCTCTTCAGAGTGGACACTGGTCTCTCTTCAGAGTGGACACTGGTCTCTCTTCAGAGTGGACACTGGTCTCTCTTCAGAGTGGACAGTTGTCCCCACACACACAGATTCAGGGACACTCACGCAAGCATCTTGCTGGATGTTTTCTAAGAACTGCTTAGCAGGCAGCAGGAAGTGGATCAGGTAACGAAGGCCGTCTCCTCTGTAGCAGCTCTCCACCACACTGAGGACCTGACAGAGGACAGTCGGGGACGTGGCCTGGAAGGGCGGGTAGAGGGAGGACAGAGCGGACTGGATGCAGCGGTCCAAAGACTCAGAGTCCTGAGAATGAAACAAAGATGACAGATGAGATCAGCTGTGCAGCAGCTGCAGAACAAAGGAGGACAAAGTGTCAATGAAACATCTGATCAATACTGATCAATAAGATTCAACAAGCACATGGACACAGAGAGAGACACGTAACCAGCTGACCAGTTTGAGTCACCACTACCTCAAACAAAACCAGTACAGACCAGTGAGGTGACACAACGTGTGTGTGTGTGTGTGTGTGTGTGTTTACAGGAAATACAGAAACGCATCTGCATCAACATCAAATCTCACACACACACACACACACACACACACACCAAACATGTTCCTGTTCCTCTCTGCAGACAATCTGAACACATCTATTCACCACAGACACCAGTATAACACACTGGGACAGACTGGGACACACTGGGAGGAACATCTCAGGGTGTAAACGTTATCTGCAGGCCTACATACAGAAAATAAATCAGACGAGTGTCTCCATCGTCCGTCCTTCTGTCTGAGCTGAATATTGTGGACGTGACTCAGCTGAGCAGAATTCACACACACACCAACTGGCAGCCAAAAGTGTCTGTGAGGCCAATATTAGCAGCAGGATATCAGATGACAGCAGCCGAGGGGATTTCTGTCCCGCTCAAAGGCACCACGACCCACAGACACCATACACATACACACATCACGAGTCCAAACTGTCCACACACACAAACACAACACACAGCGCCTGCCAACAGCCTTTTATACAGCGTCATGAAAGAGCACTGTAACCAGATAAAACACACAGAGTCAGCCAATCATCATCATCATCATCATCATCCTCACACCTTACAGACACATCTGCTGCTCTACTGACACACAAACACACAGTCTGACATCACTGAGCGCCAACACTGAGGGAGTCACATTGTAGGACACATCACTTATAACCTTTAATTATTACACACCAACAGGCAGTGAGTCAGCAAACTAAACAGGCTCTGTAGACCCAATCACAATGTTGGTTTACAACAACTTCCAGATAAAAATCTTCACATCATGAACATCAACTCACAGCGAGCTGAGCAGACGCTGCCTCAGTTAGTACGTCTGTAGCCACATAAAAAAGATACCACCAAAAAAAATAAAAGTTTAAGTGTTCACTCCTGTAACTTGATGTCAGAGAGATTTTACAGACGAGGACCTGGGGCCTGTATCAGGAAGCAGGATTAATGTCTTAGCGAGGTAACTTCAGGGTTAACTCTGGGTTTTCGGTCTCACGAAGCCGGTTCAGTTCTTATCGGGGTAGATCACCATGGTAACTTACTCTGAACGGCTATCCTGCTCCGGAGCAGGGTAAGTTCAGGGTTGAATCTGATCCTATAAAAAGCACCACCCACTGGCCAATCAGCTGTTGATGGCTGACAGAAATGCAGCCCAGTCATGACGGGAAGTTTAATTCATTTGATTGATTTTGATTTGAAAGTTTATTTTGAACATTAAAAAAGAAAAGAAAGCAACAACAACAGACAATGAAAAGATTGTTCAAAAAGGAGTGGAAAGAAGTGGAACTTTCATCCCACCCCTTCATAAGAAAGAAACTGATCATTTGCAGACACTTAATAGCACCATTAATTAGTGCCAACATTTTGTTTAGTTGGAGGAAATGATCCCTGTTAAAGATAATGGGCCTAATTGACAGCTTTGCTGCTGGAAATGTGGAAAGTAGCCTATCATGTCTACACTTCATGGTGTTTGAGGGATTTTCCTTTTTGTTTTTTAAAGAGGGACACTAGCTATATTTTTGTGCAGCTGTTAATTTCTAACACAGCTCAATATCAGGATGATTTTATTCAGACTATCAATTTGGTGTTGATATGATTTAATTGTGGCGTCAGCTTTAAGCTTTATTGTAGCATATATAACGTTATGACAAAGAAGACCAATTTATCAGACGCAATGATGTTAGACGATAATTGTAATACACGCAATTCATCTGCGCAGCATTGATTTCATGGGATTCAAGGGTGTGATCAGTGTCAGATGTACAGGTACAGGTACTGTAGCTACTTGAACCAGTGATGAGTCATTTAACCTGCACATCATTTTATTTACTGCCTTGTTTTGTCTTGATTTTTCCCTCTCTCCTCCTCTATTTCTTCTTTCCTCACCCGTTTCTTTTTCTTCTCTATCATGTGATTTCATTGATGTTTTGACAGGGGAATTTCTTTGATAAGCTTTTAGTGGCTTCTAACCTCTCCGGCACTTTTCTTTTTTTAGTCTTGTAAATGTTATACTGTCTGTTTTTAACATTATGTGCAAATAAACTAATCTAAACTGAAACTAAACATTATTCATCCCGTTATGCGTTGCCACGCATGTTTCCTCCTCCTGCAGCTGCCACGGTGTTGGCCTTTTCTCTAATGTTGCTTTTCTCCTCCTCATATTTTAGTAGAATTATTGTCTGATCCTCACGAGAAACACTTTTTTTCTCCCTCACATACGGCGCTCTGTGAGGACGCTCAGTGACGCTCAGTGACGCTGCGCTTCTCTCATGATTGTGATTGGTCCGCTGCGTGTGCGTTCACAGCTCTTGATAAAGCAACTCTGGGTTGAGTTACCGAGTTGATATCCAGCGTCGTGACACCGATTATCCTGATTGCCATTGTTAGGGTTAGTCAACCCAGGATAGGTCTGGGTAACCCAGGAAAGGTTGATCTCACTTCGTGATACAGGCCCCAGAGCTGATATTTCACAGCCTCCAGACTCCACTGACACAAAGAAACTGCTGCTGTACAGCTGCCTCCATCAGGGCCTGTGTGAGGCTACGCACAGTTAACAGACAACAGATTTCACCGATCTCTACAAATGTGACCCACTGCCACTTCTCTCCCTGAAGTGTTGTTGTTGTTGTTGTTAGCATGATGTCACAGTGATGCAGTGAGAGCACACAGAGACGTGAGCAGAGACAGTTTCTGACTGTGACAACACACAGACACACTGTGTGTGTGTTTAACATGCTCGTTCTGTCAAATCTTCATCAACCTGATCTATAACATACAACAGTCATATTTACACGGTCAGGTGACCTGGATCCAAACAGCCCGACTCCAGACCAGCCCTCAAGGTCAAAATGAGACCGCTGTCTTAAACCTAATTAAATGTTGTGTTAACAAGGTCATTTAAACAACACTAATCATCAGTGACAGAGAAATATAAATACAGGAAATAAGGGTCAAATACAACTGCAGGAATCACATAGAGCACACACGTGAGGATTATTGTGTCAAGACTGCAGCTTTGCCTCGGTGTAGAGAGGAGGAGGAGGAGGAGGCACATCAAAGCAGGCAGAGAGAGGTTCCCATGGGGGGAGTAAAGAGGCCACCCACTCTGAGGCCCTGCTGAATAATAACTTGATTATCCTCCACAGAGTCCTGTGATAAAACACACACTTCAATTTCACTCAGCTCAGCTCACACTGAACGAACCAACACTGAAAAATAACACACAACATAAACAGGCAATTATACTCAGGTCAAAGGTCAGAGGTCAACATTTAACCCTCGGACAGAGAGGAGACGTAGTTTTAGAGTCGGTAAGCAGAAAATATATGAACGTTACTGAGATAAATCCTCCAACTGAAGCTGGAGGAGTCTGAGTCTGAAGATGAAACTGAACAGTTGTTGACTGATGATGATGATGATGATGATGATGATGATGATGATGATGATGAAGTCTCATTGTGTTTCTGGCTTTTTACATCAGGCATGTCCTCATCATACAGTCCACTGCCGCCTCCATGTCCTACCTCCATATATTCTCACTGTGTTACCTGTTATACAGTTAAACAATGATCAGAACTGATCAGAGTCCAAACCAACAGACTTCATGTCGTCTCCACGTCAACAATCTCCCTTTGTCACACACGTTAAACTGCCTCACAGCATCGTACCTGTCGTCAATAATTCACATCTGTTCTCTATAAAGTCCATGTGAACCCAACCTGAACTCAGCCCACTGATACACACTATTCAGGATATAGAGAAACTTTAATAATATCAGACCTGTATGATGTTTCTCTAGATGGCATTGCTCTGGCCTCTAGCACTACCGTAAGAAACCTCGGAGTAACATTTGATCAAGATTTGTCTTTTAATTCTCATTTAAAACAAACCTCACGGACTGCATTTTTTCATCTGCGTAATATTGCGAAAATTAGGCCTATCCTGACCCGAAAAGATGCAGAAAAATTGGTCCATGCTTTTGTTACCTCTAGGCTGGATTACTGTAACTCTCTATTATCAGGTAGCTCTAGTAAGTCCTTAAAAACTCTCCAGCTAATTCAGAATGCAGCAGCACGTGTACTAACAGGAACTAAGAAACGAGATCATATTTCTCCTGTTTTAGCTTCTCTGCACTGGCTCCCTGTAAAATCCAGAATTGAATTTAAAATCCTACTGTTAACTTATAAAGCTCTAAATGGTCAAGCTCCGTCATATCTTAGAGAGCTCATAGTGCCATATTATCCCACCAGAACACTGCGCTCTGAGAACGCAGGGTTACTCGTGGTCCCTAAAGTCTCCAAAAGTAGATCAGGAGCCAGAGCCTTCAGCTATCAGGCTCCTCTCCTGTGGAATCATCTTCCTGTTACGGTCCGGGAGGCAGACACCGTCTCCACATTTAAGACTAGACTTAAGACTTTCCTCTTTGATAAAGCTTATAGTTAGGGCTGGCTCAGGCTTGCCCTGTACCAGCCCCTAGTTAGGCTGACTTAGGCCTAGTCTGCCGGAGGACCCCCTATAATACACCGGGCTCCCTCTCTCTCCCTCTCTCTCTCTCTCTCTCTCTCTCTCTCTCTCTCTCTCTCTCTCTCTCTCACTCTCATCCTATTACTGCATCTTGCTAACTCGGCCATTCTGGATGTCACTAACTCGGCTTCTTCTCCGGAGCCTTTGTGCTCCACTGTCTCTCAGAATAACTCATACCGCAGCGGTGCCTGGACAGTGTGACGTGTGTGGTTGTGCTGCTGCCGTGGTCCT